AAGCTCTCCCACAGCCTTGGAGGTCTCACCACCCAGAGGAGGCCTGGCTTCTTGCCTGGGTAGTATTTGCTTCCCCTCTGAGGAGCCCCGGAGGAGGCCCTGGCTGTGTGTTTCCCAGCATCGAGCCTGGTGTCTGGAACTCACAGGGCATCTTTCCCATGCTGGAGGAACCCCTCGGCTGCTCCCTCCTGTCCCTGGGTAGCCCCACCCTCCATGTGCCCACCTTTACCTAGCACCAGATTGTGGACTGAGGCACTTTTTGGGCACTGGGAACCCTCAAACTCTCTTTCCTGGGGAATAAGCCTCACTCCTCCAATCCCATGGGGAGCTTTTTTTGTTGGTGGTATTTTGTTTGTTTTGTTTCAGTCCTGGGGATTGAACCCAGGGCCTTTGCAATGAGCTACATCCACAGCCTTTTATTATTTATTTATTTATTGGTACTGAGGATCGAACTCGGATCCTTGCGCTTGTGAGGCAGCTTTTATTTTTTATTTTGAGACAGTGTTTCACTAGATTGCTAAGTTTGCCCAGGCTGGGCTCAAGCTTTTGATCCTTCTGCCTCAGCCTCCCATAGTGCTGGGATCACAGGCGTGTGTTACCACCAATGTGTGGTTTTAGCTTATAAAAGAAAGTACAAGAGGCATTCAATATTATAAAATAAGCTTCATGTTCAATGATTCTGCCCAACCTCAGGCTAATGTGAATATTTGGAGCACATCAAAGGTAGGCTAGGCTAAATTCTGATGTTTGATAAGCATTAAATATATTTTTACTTGTAATATTTTCAACTCATGGGTTTATTCAGACATGATCCCATTATAAGTTAAGGAGTATTATATTTACATTTTATAAACTGTGTATGCTTTAAAATCTCAATAAAAACAACCCACCACAGTTTTATATATGCCACCTCCTGGATGGTATTTTAATCTAAAATGGTTCTTGGTTCATGAAAGATGATCACAGTAAAGCTCAGCTAGATTTAGAACAGTACAGAAAAGACAAAAAAGACCTGAAATGTCCAAGTCACTGAAAGTAACTCAGTGCCACTGAAAAGACTTGGAAGTCCCCTGTGTCCTCTTTCCGGAAAGGATTAGAAGAACAAGAGGAACTTGAGAATCTTGGGTGACTTCAAGTACAGCCAAGGTCCTTTGGTTGGTCCTCTGCCATGGGTCTCCCAGTGTGGGGCAGCAGCAGAGCTGACCCAGAGTTTGGGGTAGAGGATAAAGGAAGTCCCTATGTAGGTGGCATTGTAGCTGGATCTCAAACGCTGGAGAACTGATGAAGCAAGGTTCTGATTTATTTTGTGCATAACTTGAAACCTCTAACTCAGCACTCTGTTAATGCTGGTAGGAATGGCAGGGCAGCCAGCTCTACTGGGTGCTACAAATAGCAACCCTAGGGAAAGGAATCGTATTTTGAGCTGTGGCTAGAGAAGCTTGTGAAGGCCAGGGTTGACTTAGCAGTGGTTTTGAAGAATGTCTCTATAGGAAGTGACCTGGCTAAGTCTGTGACTTTCAAATAACTACCAGATGTGCCAGGCAAGGAGAAGACCCCCTCTGATCTGAAGTCAAGCTCTCTCTGCTTCTTATCATATATTTGGTTTGGGGGAAGGTAGCAAATATCTGAACCCCTGTATCCACTGCCAAGGCTCCATCCAGCCAAGCCTTCTAGGAAGTGGCAGGGAGATGAATGCCTACCTTGGCGATGGTCCTAGATCTAGGTGCTACCTTGGGTCTTCCCAGAAACAGAAGTCTGTCTTTGTATCCAACCAGCCTCTTGTTTGTGTACATCCAGGGATTCTCATTAACTGAGTAAATAGGTAAAACATAGCAATGAGGTGGCAGCACATAGCAGAGTATTTCACAAGTGGACTCCATTTTTCCCATTGCGTTAAAACTTTCCCTATTTCCTCATTTTCTTTTTCACTTTCCCTGTTTTCCAACAGCTCTCCCCCTATGTCGGGGCCACCCGCAGTGGTGACCTCCTGTCTTCCTAATCAGACCTTGTTCCAGATTTGTCACAGATTATTGGCTGCCAGGTTTAGAGGTGGAAAGATGGATGTCCTGTCTCAGCAGAAACCCTGGGTCTAGCACAGCAGCTGTGGAGACTTTGGCGGGTAGCGTGAGATGACTCTTCTATCCGTAGTGCTGGTGTTGCTCCATCTCACCCTCAACCCAGCATTCTTGGCACAGAATAAATATGTTCTGGCCATTACTCCCTAAAACAGATTCGTGACTCTACTGCAGATTTCTAAAACACTGTATGTTTTAACTCTTGGAGATCTAGGAGATAGATTCTCATTTAAACCTGAGTCTGATTCCACGTGGTGATCCCCTTGACCCTCGTTATTATGGCAACTAGAGAGCTAGTTCTGGGGATGGTGTTTTAAAGGATCCCATAGTCACTAGTAGTGCTTTTTGTCGTGAAAAGCAACTTTTCTTTATAGGAAGAATTTGAAATTAAACATAGATAACATTAGACTTCATTAGTTTCTGATCTGACCTGGGAATACTGAGATTGTCTTGCAACTGACTTCTCTCCCCTTCCAGATGTGCTGCTGAGAGTAGACCTTGAACTTTGAATAAGTTGAAAGCCTGAGGTTGTCTTAGGCCAAATTCTATGAAACACTCCTGGTAAATACATAGTAACTGAAGGACTTTGGCTATCACTGGGGCCCTTTGTACATATCAACACAGGGGGAGAGGTGGCTAATGTGACTAACAAAGTGACTGAGAGCTTTGTTTGAATGATGTGTCACTATCAATCTCTCCAACTTTTAGGTGGCGGTGAGGAGAGATTAATCAATTCCAATTAGTAATTTGCATTTCCCACTCTCGGAGTTGCAGATAAAGTTTAGGCCAGTCTTGTCCAAGCTTCTGAAGAGATTAATGTTTTAAAGCAGGCAGAGTCTCCATAATGAAGCCCAGAGAGATAATATAGGCTCCTGGGCCATGTCTGTTCCAAGACCCAGCCAACATGCTCTCCTGCAGGTCCTGTCCTACTGTAGCTGGCTGGTGGCACTTCTGCGTAAGGACTTGTCCCTAGCCTGGTTGCCACTGTTACCTCTAGTACCTCTGATGCTGTCATTCTGTTTCTGTCTCAATCCCATTCTCCCTCCTGGTCCTCTGCTGGTTCTTCATTCTCGTGAGACCTAATGTGCATATTATCAAGATTCAATCCTCTCTTCTAATAATCTTGGACTTTGTAACTCACATATGGAACTCTGCATGTTATCGATATACTGTCTCTTCCAAATTGACACACCTCCATCAATCTTTCCCGCCAAAATTATTCCCACCTATTATCCACTCAAGACTGGCGTCTATTGGCCTCCTCCTTCCCCCTTTCTGTTTTCTATGAGGTGGTCTAGATCATATTGTGTGCTCAGACACAGCTGGGTATTCATTGCACATCTGTAAAAACTAGTCCTAGCTTTCTTTTAAAAAGGTTAAACTCTGATTACTGTAACCTTCTCTAGTTGAGGGCCAATTCCTTACCATTCACCGCCCTCTTCATGAACATTTGTGTCTCTGTTACATGCCATGTGTTGTGAGGGAGCTGAGGAATCATGCCTGGAATGGTTTGGATATGGTTTGAGGATGTCCCCAGAGGTTCATGTGTCGAGAGCCGAGTCCCCAGTGTGGTGATGTTGAGGTGGTGGAAGAGGTGGGGATGTAGTGGAATATAGTCAAGTCATCGGAAGTGTCGTACTTCACATGGATTAATGTAGTTCTTGTGGGACCCTGAGTTCTTGAGAGAGTGGATTGTTACAAAAAAGTGACCTCAACTCCTCCCACACTCTGGCTCCCACCTTGCCACGTTCTCTTCCTGCTCCCACAGGCTCCGTCCATAAGGCCATGGGCCATGATGGGCTACAGCTGGGGAATCATCAAGCTGAGCAGGTGCAGTACTGTGTGGACATTTTGCCTCCAAAACTGAGCTAAATAAACCTCCTTACTTTATAAAGTACTTACCTAGCCTCAGGTTTTTTTGTAGCAACGGAGTATGGACTAATACAATACCTTAGACACCCATGGTGCCGTTGCCACTGGGAATGAGGAAGGTGGATGTGTAAAAAAAAAAAATATATATATATATCTCGGCTGGTGAAAGCTGATAAGAAAGTAAAACTGACAGATTGGGAGATACTCACACACTTAGAAGATAGGAAAGGCTTTCCACGGTGATGTTTGAGCTGAGACTGAATGAAAGGGAACCGATTCTACAAAGACCCTGGGAGGACCAGCTTGTTCCCCAACTGAGGATAAGCTTGAAATATCTGACAACAAAAGCCAAGGGTTCAGAACACAGTGATCGAGAAAGAGTTGTTGGAGGTGAAGTCGGCTGGAGCCAGCTCATGCAGGGCATTGGCTGCAGTTCGGATTTTCTTCTTAGCTCGGTGTGCAGCCAGGGGAATGTTGTTAAGCAGGGGAGTTACACGATCACATTGTTTTCTTTAACAAATCCTATGGCCTCTGTGTAGAGAAGAGATCAGGAAAATGCAGTGGTAGCAGGGAGACAGTTGTAAGGTGTGGTGTGGTGGGTGGAAGACGAGGGTGGCCTAGGCTGGGTGGAGGAAGTTGACCACAGCCTTACCAGGGGTCATGCTGGAGATGGTTCTGGTCCAATGTCCTGGGCTGAGTATGGGCGAAAGAGGCTGTCCCCATTGGGTCTGCTTGGCTGCTGCCCATCTGGCACATGTGCTATATACAGAGCTCCTTGGACACTGAAGAAAGGCTTCTGTTTCTGCCCAGTCTGTCCCTGTCATTAGTGACCCAGTCCAAGCTAACCTGCTTTTTAAAGGTTTGCTTAACTACTGCAGCCCAGGACCGGTCCCCCCTACAGTCCTCATGACCTACTGAACTGGCATGGTGATGCCATAGAAGCTGTCTTCCTGAGTCTACTCTCTGATCCCTTATGATCCCTAGAAGGGTTTAGAGCCCTAATGACTTTAACACACACTGGGTATGAAAATCTCTCTGTAATTCTACTTGCAGGTGATTTTCATCTTTTAATCAATATGCCAACCCTGGATGTCCCAGAAGAGAGGCTGAAAAAATTTAAGTACCGAGGGAAAGATGCATCTGTGAGTATGAAGTGTCTGCCTCATTTTATCAGTGACCAGTACAGTAAAAAGCACATGACTAAAATATATCAAAAATAGGGTGGATCTGAGACAGGAAGATTGCAAGTTCAAGCCAGCCTGGGCAACTTAGTGACTGAGTAAACTCCTGTCTCAAAAGAAAAAATATGAAAATGACTGGGGATATAGCTCAGTGGGTAGACCCTGGGCTTGATTTCCCATCTACTACCAAAAAAACCTCCCCAAAAACAAAACAAAACAAAACAAAAAAATAAGGGCGGTGGAGATGTGAAGAGATGAGGGAGTAATAAGGCAAATCTAGCAAAATATTAATTTAGGTAGGTGTATGGATAATTACTGAATAATTCTTTCAAGTTTTTGTGTGTTTGAAATTTTCATTGAAATACTGAAGGCAAGATGGACAAGTACATTGACTTAAGAGCCAGCCAAGTGTGCAATAGAACCATTTCCATGTCCTCTCGAAACTGTTTCACTTCAGATCTCCAGTTATTCCTCTGTAAAGCAGGGCCGCTATCTACTGCTGAGGGGCTGGAGAGTGGCCCCAGTGAGGGTCTGTAGAGGCTGGACTGTGGCTGTTCACAGCCAGGAGGTTCATCAAGGGGCTCCAGTGGCCACACTCAGGTCCAGCCAGCAAGCATGCCTTGCAGCAGTAGGACTCGTGGGAAGGTCCTGGTGGGACTCACTGCTGGGATGAACGCAGGAGCAGGGGGAGAGGGCCTGCACCACGTGTGAATTCCAACTTGCATTCAGCTTCTCTGGTCGCACAGTTTGTGGCTCCAGCTCTGTCCTACATGTGTGTACCTTGGCAAACATCTCATAAGATCATCCACACCTTGGGAATCTGAAAGGCAGCTGAGGGTGAAGGAGGTGCATGGCCACAGCAGCCTGGTTGGGCACTGTCCAAAGCCAAAACACTTTTAATGGCAGCAACCTCCAGAAAGCACGGCTGTCTGGCTCCCACAACCACTGCAGATGAAAAGAGACCAGTTAGAAGAGGGGAATCAAATGTCCTACGCGGGGAGGAGGAGGAAGGGCTAGAGACAAGAAAAGAGAGTCAAAGGTACACAACCCTTGTTCATGGGAAGGTCCTGCTCAGTGATGGGGCTGCCGCACAACTGGCTCAGTAGGCCTCAAAGGTGCTCTGCTTTGCCTGGTAACACCATAGTGGCCTTTTTCTATTGTCAAATGTCATGATTTGTGTAATCAGAAAACATTCCAGGGCAATAATGAAAAAGCTGCTTGTATTTCTTTTTTTTAAATTTTTTATTATTACAATACTATTTAATAATAACACTTATAAACATAAATTTATCTGAAGACATAGAAGCCCTTGTTTGTTGTTCAGGTTAGTGAATGACCCTAAATGTGCCTGTCCTAGAAAAAGTTGCCAGATAAATCACTTCTGTTGAGAAGGCCTCCGATGCTGGAGGGAAGCTTGTTTCTTCTGGGATTTCAACTTTTGCTGAGATTACATTGTGTGCACTATGCCCAACTTGTTTCTTCTGTACCAAATGCTGAAGTCATTTAGGTTCTCAAAATGAATGAATGGCAGCTTCGGGTGCTTAGCCTGGAAAGAAACTCCTCCTGGAAATTTGTTTTTTAGCACAACATTTATTGGTACATTTTAGGCAAACGTAGTAGCACTCAGCGTAGGGAATTTGGACCTGTACGTGATACATCACGCCTCTTCCTTTCCCTTCCCCACTTCCGTCACGCCCCCTCCCCTCCTTGTGTACAAAAGCTTTGTTTCCATTTTTCCCTTCTATTTTCACTTTTTTTTCTTGTCCCTTCTTTCCTTTCTCCCTCCCCCTCCCTTGTTCCCCCTCCCAATCTCTATTATACATTTTGGTCCTTATTTCTACTTTCAGTTTTTCATACCAGAGAAACAATGCAGTATTTAGACATGTGTGTCCGATTTACTTCACTGAAGAGTATGGTTTCAAGGTCCATCCATTTAGCTATAAATGTCTGAAGCTCATCTTTCTTTAAGGCAGAGCACGACTTCATTGTGTAAAAAAACCCCACATCTTCTTTATCCATTTGTCAGTTGATGGGCATTTGGGCTGTTTCCCAGATTTAGCTATTACAAACTGTGCTGCTATAAACATGGGTGTGCATATATCCCTGTGGTAGGTTGCTTTTAATTCTTTTGGGAAGACACTAAGAAGGGGAATAGCCAAGTCAGATGGAACCTCCAGTTCTAGTTTGAGGAATCTCCACACTGATTTCCACAATGGTTGCACCAGACTGCACTCCCACCAGCAGTGGAGCAGTGTTACTCTTTCCCCCCACAGCCCTTCTAGCATTTGTTATTGGATGATTTCTTGATAGCAGCCATTCTTTCTGGAATGAGATGGAATCTCAGGGTTGTTTTCAGTCACATTTCACAAATGACCAGTGATGTTGAACGTTTTTTCATATATTTATTTGCCATTTCTAATTCTTGAACTGAGAAGTGTCTTTTCATTTCAGATGGCCATTTTTGAATGGGGTCTTTAAATTTGGGGGGGGTCTGATTTTTTTGAGTTCTTTATATATTCTAAATAATAGTCCTTTATTTGAGTAGCTGGTAAAATTGTTTTCCTACTCTGTGGTTTGTCTCTTCACTCTGTTGGTGGTTTCTCTTGCTGTACAAAAGCTTTTTAATAAGATGAGGTCCCAGTTGTTGATTCTTTGTAGTATTTCCTGTGCAGTCTGGGTTCTGTTCATGAAGTCTTTGCCTACTCTATGCCCTCAGGTGTTCTACCTATTCTCTCTTCCAGCAGATTTAGTGTTTCTGCTTTAACATTTAGATCTTTGATCCATTTTGATTTTAGATTAGTGTATGGTGAAAGATATGGGTCTAGTTTCAATCTTTGGCATGAGGAAAGCCAGTTTTTCCAACACCATTTATTAAACAGGCTCTTTTTCTTCCAATGAAGGTGTTGGGCCCCTTTGTCAAAGGTTCAGTGGCTGAGTGTGTCTGAAGTTGTTTCTGCATCTTCTAGTCTGTTCCATTGATCCTCACGTCTGTTCTTTTGCCAGGAGCATGCTGTTTTTATCACAGGAGCTTTGTAGTATAATTTCAGGTGAGAGGTTGTGATGCCCCCTGCTTTGCCTTTGTTGCCCAGAACTGCCTTTGCTATTCTAGGTCTCTTCTGGTTCCAAATGAATTGTAGGATTGTTTTTTCTACTTCTGTGAGATATACTGTTGGAATTTTGATTGGGATTGCATCAAATCTGTATAAGAATTTTGAAAGTATGAAATGGCCTTGTTTTCAAGCAAGAATTAAGTAGCTAGTTTAAGGAACCAGAAGCATCTAATACATATTAACTTCCTTATGTAGTCATGTACTACATAACAACCTTTCAGTCAATGACAGGCCACATATATAATGGTGGTCCCATAAGATTATATCACCTAAGGACATCATAGCTATCTTGGTTTGTGTAAATATACTCTGCAATATTTGCCCAATGACAAAATTGTCTAATAATCCAGTTCTCAGAATAAACCCTTCATTAAGTGACACATGATTGTAATTGCTATTTGAAAGTCTTCATCTTAACCTCATTTATCCAGAAATTTAGGGCATGTCTCCAGGATTTTCAGTACTGTCAAGTCTGTGAGTTGGTGACTAATATTAAAAAAGGCTTTTAAAAAATCCCTTAATCTCCCTGTCTACTGTCTAAGTGAAACTTCTGGGACTGGATCAAGATTTGAACGGCACAGTCAGTGCATCTATCCATGGGTGATCCCTATAGGACCAAGGCCCACCTATCTATCCACCATTGGGAGGCCTGGGCTGCCTTATGCAGGAAGCAAGAATTCTCTTCAGAAACTAAACAGCATGAACGAAGGGGTTTCAGGCCCAGCACATTTCGATGCTTTACTAAGATGCGTTTACAGCTGAGAATCCTGGCCTATCAAAGATGCAACTGGCCATCCCTTACATTGAGAGGAAGACTGAATCCTAGAGGTAGAAGAGTAGGAGAAAGCAGAAGAGGTAAATAGGAATGAGATGATTTACTGTACGATCTTAAGTCTCCCAGCTTTCTGCATCTGTAAAAATGAATCAGATGCTTTGGACCACATTCCAAGGCTAAATGGGGTGACATCCTGGCTCCCCAGCTCCTTGGCTCTTACTGCTCCAATTGTTTTCTTTTCCTTACTAGGCGAGGCGGCAGCAGAGGGTGGCACTCAGCCTGGAGCTCCGGAAGGCCAAGAAAGACGAGCAGGCTTTAAAGAGGAGGAGTATCACCTGCGTCTCCCTTGACCTAGCTTCTAAAGGGGTAGGTCAGCACCTGGTTTGCTCTGGCTTTAGAGTGTTCGAGATTCAGTTTGCCGATTCTAACGTAAGGCCTTAGTGAGGAGATCATTGGTAGAGCTGAAGCGCCCTTGCCGAAAAGCTAAGACTCTCCACAAAATCTTACAGCTGTGAGTCTGTAGGATCCAAATTCTTTTGTTTTTTTCCATTAAGTTTATTGGTACATTTGAGGTGTACAATACTGTTACACTAATCACTGGGATCTTGTACCTGTACGTAATGTATCTTGGTTCTTATTTTTTTCCCCTTCCCCTGCCCTCCCTTCACCCCCTCC